CTCCCACCTTCCTGCGCCCCAGGGAGCGAGTGGGGCATGGGGAACACGCCAAGGGGCCCGCGAGGCAGGGAAGGGGATAGGGGGCGCGAGGGGCGTGAGCGGGAGGGGAGGGGCACGAGGGGGGTGAGGGGATGCTCTGGGGTAGGTCGTCTAGGCAAGAAGGAGGAGGACGGAAAGGGAGGAGAGGCCATGTTCGCGCAGCCAGTTCACGGTTACCACCGCCTCCAGTGGAGTCAGATTCAGTCAAGAAGATGCCTAAGGACACCGCGGAAAAGTGACCAGAGGAACGGCCAAGCTCGCGCTGCTTTTCCCGCGCTGTCTCACGAGGACCAATGAGCTTCAAGAATCGTCTCTCTGTGCCGAGGCGGGCGACCAATGCGGTTTGAGATCCTGCACTGATGTCCTGCCCCCTTCCTTTCTGCTAGCGTCTAGGGGCGCGAGACTATCAGTCCAGCCAACAGCAATTGGAGATAAGTCTCGTGCCACCCCTGCCCCTCCCTCTGCGTGTCCTGCCTGCCCAGACTGCCTTTCCCCTTTGGAGGCAAGTGGCCAATGGGGCGTCGAATGTTGCCTCCTGGACCGAGGCTGGGCCCGCCCCCAAGGAACGGTCCGCCTGGCCCCGCCCCTGGGGCGTTGACCAAGCACTGTCTGCGCACGCGCAGCCTCGATTCCGGCCTTCCTTGGCCCTCTACCTAGACTTCGCCGTTGCTGCGTGGACGCCAGCGTTTTCTGTTGCTTCTCTCCCGGTGCCACAGCTCCCGAGCTACCCTTCTTTTATGCGTTCTCCCTAAACCCTGTGATTTCCCTGTTTGCTTACCGGGCCCTTCCTCCTCATATTGCTTCCGTTGCCCTGTGTCTCTTCCTGTCGTCCTACGGGTTGTGATTTTCCCAATCTGATTTTTCCTTTTCTCTCGGACCCTCTCTCTCTTCGGACCCACTTTCTCCCCGTGCTTCATTCCCTGATAGCTTGGCCCCTTCCCCCCTTCCTTGGCTACCCGGGACACCTCCAGTTTTTCTGAATTTCCCGCTGGCTCCGCCCTCCTCTTTAATCTCCCTCAGGGCGGCTCTGTGTAATCGTCGCCTTCTCTGGGTATCTCCGTGAGCTTCATCTCGCGCCATCCCCCCATCTTCTCTGCCGTGGCCCTTTTTCTCTGTGCGTCTCGCTCTGTGTCCTTTTCTCTTCCCCCCTCTGATATTGACTCCTCTTCTCCCTGAGAGCCCCGCCTTTGTGCCTCACTCCTCATCTTCCTATGCCTCCCTCTCTCTGCTGGTCCACTGTCTCCCTGCAAGGTTCCATTCCATCAATTTGTCTTTTGTAGGGGTGGCATCCCTCTGACTGCTCCATCCTTTTTTTTTTTTTTTTTTTCCCCTTGAGGATTGAGGATTTCATTTCAGTCTTTTCTGGTTGCGTCTCCACTTGCACTCAGCTTGTTGGGTCCCGTCGTTCTGCATCTCAGGCTGACGAGTGCCATCTTCTCTGATTGGCCTAATCCCCCCCTCCCCTCCGTGAGATCCTTTGTCAAACTTCGTTTCTCTTTCCTGTGTCCCAACTTTTCTGCGGGTCTTAGCACCTTTGTTGGCCACAGATTTCTGGGTTACAGAGCATATGTGTCTGGGCATTGCAGACAGAAAAGGGTGGCCAACGTGACCTCTAGCTGGACTGCTGGGCAGGGGAGCTGTCCTAGATAAAATTGGAAAGGTTGGGTGGCGTTGATCTGGGGTGAGGTCAGGTTGGGGGAGGCTTGAAGGCTAAAGAGGTTGAATTTGATCCTTTAGGTAGTAGAGAGAGAGTGAGAGGAAGTGTGTGTTGGAGGGCGGGATGGTGGTGGAGGAACAGGGTAACCAGCATTTATAAAGAGCTTAGCCTTTGCCTAACACGGTAATAATTTTATTGATCTTCACAATGACCTTATGAGATGTATTATACTCCATTTTATAAATGAGGTAGTGGGCTCAGAGTTCATCAGATTGGACAGCTGGTAAGTGAAGGCGTAAAGATTCCAACCTGGGTCTCTGAGGCCAAGGTCTGTGATCTTTATAGCCCCTCCCACACTGTTATAGTTATTTCCACCAATTCCCCACTTTCATTCCCTAACCTTCTCATAGGCAGTTCTCATTCTAAGGTGGTTAATATGTATCTTTTGGTTTGTGTTTGTGTATTCTCACAGAATATGTGTAGTGTTTTCTGTTTAAGTTTTTTTTTTTTTTTAGCGATGGGATTTTGCCATGTTGACCACGCTGGTCTGGTCTGGAACTCCTGGCCTCAAATGATCTGCCTGCCTCAGCCTTCCAAAGTGCTGGGATTACAGGCGTGAGCCACCATGCCTGAACTGTGTTTGAGTTTTTAATTTATGCAAGTGATATTATGCTATTTACTATTTAAAATAATTGGCACTGTGCTTTTATGATCTATTGACGTACACATCCTGTCATTGTGTGTATATCTTTTTTTGTTGTCGTTGGAGACGGAGTTTCACCCTTACTGCCCAGGCTGGCGTGCAATGGTGTGATCTCAGCTCACTGCAACCTCTGCCTCCCGGGTTCAAACAATTCTTCTTCTGTCTCAGACTCCTGAGTAGCTGGGATTACAGGCGCCCACCACCACACTTGGCTAATTTTTGTATTTTTGGTAGAGATGAAGTTTTGCCATGTTGACCAGGCTTGTCTCGAACTCCTGACCTCAGGTGTTCTGCCCTCCTTGGCCTCTCGAAGTGCTGGGATTACAGGCGTGAGCCACTGCACCCTGCCTCACATCCTGGGTACATCTAATCAGCTGCTTCCTACTCCTGTGTGATATTCTGTAGTGAACATCCCCAGCATGTTTTGCATTCACTTGGTCTCAGAGAAGGAAGCTCCCATTGTCTCAACCGTCACCACAGTAATGCTGCATTCGCTGGACACAGCAGCTCATGCCTGTAATCCCAGCACTTTGAGAGGCCAAGGCAGGCGGATCACTTGTGCTCAGGAGTTCAAGACCAGCCTGGGCAGTATTTCAAAGCCCATCTTTACAAAAAATACAAAAACTTAGCTGGGTATGGTGGTTCATGCCTGTGGTCCCAGTCACTTGGGAGGCTGAGGCAGGGAGATCACTTGAGCCCTGGAGTTTGAGGCTGCCAGGAGCTGTGATCATGCCACCAGCAAAAACAAAAACAAAACAAATGAACAAAAAACCCATCTGATGTCTATTACTTCCTGTTTTTCATTCTGTATTTTATTGCACCTTCTCTTTTTTAGAGACAAAGTCTTACTCTGTTACTCAGGTTGGAGTACAGTGGCATGATCATGGCTTATTGTAACCTTGAACTCCTAGGCTCAAGTGATCCTCTGATATTGGCCTCCTGAGTAGCTGGGATTACAGGCACTCCCACACTTGGCTAATTTTTAAACCTTTTTTTTTTTGGTATAGACAGGGTGTTGCCCAGGCTGGTCTCAAACTGCTGACCTTGAGCGATCCTCTTGGCTCAGCCTCCCAAAGCACTGGGATTATAGGCATGAGCCACTGTGTTGCCCAGGCTGGTCTTGAACTCCTAATCTCAAGGGTTCCTTCTGGCTCAACCTTCCAAAGCACTGGGATTAGAGGCATGAGCCACTGTGCCAGCCTGCCTCTACTCCCTTTACTCCCTCTATCAGATTTGCCAGAGAACTAACTCAGTCTTTTCAAAGAATGGATCTTTTTTTTTGTTATAATGTTTGTTGTTTACTATTTCATTGATTTCCGCTATCATCCTTATTTCCATTCTTTTTTTGGGGTAGGAGAGATTTGCTTTGTTGTTCCTGATACAACTTCTTGAACTAAATCTTGAACATATCTATTTTTTTTTAATTGCATGACATATCTATTTTTTAATGCTTCATATTTCCTGATACATGGATTTAAAAGTATAAATTTACTTCTACATACTGCTTTAGCTGTGTCTCAAATTTTGATTTGATTTAAAGAACTCTTTAATTTTGAAATGATTATTCGCTCACAGGAAGTTGCAAAAGTGGTATATAGAGTCCTTTGAATCCTTCCTCCAGCTTCCCCATGGGGGCATCTTTTATCACTATAGTATATGAGCAGGAAGTTGACATTTGTACAATACTCTTTGTACAGTCATGGCTCACTGCAACCTCTATCTCTGGGACTCAAGCGGTCCTCCTTCATGGTGCATGCCACCATGGCTGGCCAATTTTTCTATTTTTTGTCATGATGCCTGGGCTAGTGTATAATACTATTACCTAGACTTCAGACCTTATTCAGTTTTCAGTAGATTTTACATGCATTTATGTGTGTATGTCTGTGTCTGTGTGTAAATGTGTGTGTTATGTAGTATGTTTATTATTTTTCAATTCTAAATACTTTTTTTTTTTTTCTTGAGATGGAATCTCTCTCTGCTGCCTAGGCTGGAGTGCAGTGGTGTGATCTCGGTTCACTGCAACCTCTACCTCCTGGGTTCAAGTGATTCGTGCCTCAGCCTCCCAAGTAGCTGGGACTACAGGCTCATGCCACCATCCCTGGCTAATTTATATTTTTAGTAGAGATGGGTTTTATCATGTTGGCCAGGCTGATCTTAAACTCCTGACCTCAAGTGATTCACCTACCTTAGCCTCCCAAAGTGATGGGATTACAGGCATGAGCCACCGCTTCCAGTCTTTAAATACTTTTAAATTTCCTTATCAAACCGAGGGTTATTTAGTGATATGTTAACTTACACACACACACACACAAACGAGTTTTAAGCATCCATTTGCTGCTCTGATCTCATTGCCTCTGGCTGGAGAACAGCCTGCATATCAATGATCCTCTGGATAAGCCAGGATTCTCTGCTCAGCACCTTGTCTAATGGGAAGACCTAAGTGAGAGAGTGAGAATCCTGCTTTGAGAAGCTAACATGGTGGGTGGTGGAGGTTAAATTGGAGGGCAGATAGTGGAGATGGGAAGACTTGTGACCCAGAAGGTCTGAGGGAGCCTATGTCCCAGAAACTGACGCAATCAACTTTCTGTTCCAGAAACAGTGACCCTGAGACAGGTGGACAAAGAATTGGAGGACTGACAGGAACTGGGCTTGGGATCCAGACTGAAACTGGTTCCAGACTAACCTCTAGCACTCAGGACCCAGACCCAGGACCATGGGACCCCAGCATTTGAGACCCGTGCAGCTGTTCTGGCTCCTAGGGGCCATCTCTACTCTGCCTCGTATGTCCTGTGGGGCTGGATGCTATAAGACCCAGAAAGGTGGGAGGCTGAATTCATGTCACTAGTAGAAGGAGGGCTGGGTATGTAGGTTTCATGGGGGACAGGATCTGTGGGCGCTGAACTCTTGGTTGGCAGTTCAAGGGCTCAGAAGGTGATGTGAGGGGACAATGACGGGGAGAGCATTTTCTTTTTAGGGGCTGGAGCTCTTTTGTGCTATGAAGCAACATCGTCAAGGTTCAGAGCTGTTGCTTTCTATAACTGGAAGTGGCTTCTGATGAGGAACATGGTGTGTAAGCTGAAAGAGGGCTGCGAGGAGACGCTAGTGTTCATCGAGACAGGTGAAGCAGGCTGGGTTTGATCCATTTTCTTTTGCTTGCTCTTCTGACCCCCAGCTCCACCCCCAGCACCCAGGGACTCTAGATTGGAATTCCAGATAGTTACCTCGTGTGTGTATATATGTATATATATATATATATATATATATATATATATATATATACACACACACATACATACATACATACATACATACATATATTAAAATTTTTTTTTGAGATGGGGGATCTCCCTCTGTTGCCCAGGCTGGTTTTGAACTCCTGAGCTCAAGCGAACCGCCCGCCTTGGCCTCCCAAAGTGCTAGGAATACAGGCGTGAGACACCGTGCCTGGCCATCATTACATGTTTTGGATGTCAGGACACTAGCAGGAGAGTGGTGTGGGCTGGATAAGTTGGTAGAATGGAGGTGAGCAGATCCCTGGAGGAGGGGCACAAGGGAGAGAGGAGCTGTGTGGGGGGCCCTACAGGGGAAGAATGAGGAGATTCGGATGGAGACCCCAGGATCTGAGTCCTATGCCCCTGCATTGAGTGGACACAGGGGTTGGGGAGGGAGGCAAAGATGGTGACAGGCAGGGTGGGTGCCGAAAGAGCTGGGGGAAGGGGGACTCTGGGTGAGGCCAGTGACACTGATCAGAGCTCTCTCATCCTCTGCTTCTTAGGGACCTCAAGGGGAGTCGTGGGTTTTAAAGGCTGCAGCCCATCTCCGTCTTACCCTGCACAGGTCTCCTACCTTGTCTCCCCACCTGGAGTGTCCATTGCCTCCTACAGTCGCGTCTGCCGATCTTATCTCTGCAACAACCTCACCAATTTGGAGCCTTTTGTGAAACTGAAGGCCAGCGCTCCTAAGTTTGTCACATCTACATCCCATAGTTGCCCAACCTGTGTGGGCGAGCACTTGAAGGATTGCCTCCCTAATTTTGTCACCACTAGTTTTTGCCCCTTGGCTGCCTCTACGTGTTACAGTTCCACCTTAAAACTTCAGGCAGGTGAGAGGAGAGGAATTTTGTTTATCAAATGGCTGCTCTATGCCAGGCACTGTCCAGCGCCTTCACATCTCAGAGAGGCTGGTGGGATCTGGAGATGGGATTGGGGTTGCTGCAAGGGACTGGGCACCATGAATTCCAAAGAGGACAGGGCAGGTGCCTGGTGGCTAAGTCTCTGACAGGAAAGCAGGTGTTCTGGTTTGTGAGGGACATCTGGGAAGAGGGGAGGGCTTGTTTTTTGAGACAGAGTCTCTTGCTCTATTGCCCAGGCTGGAGTGCAGCGATGCGATCTCAGCTCACTGCAACCTCCCCTCCCGGGTTCAAGTGATTCTCATACCTCAGCCTCCCAAGTAGCTGGGATTATAGGCATGTATCACCATGCCTGTCTAATTTTTGTATTTTTAATGGAGATGGGGTTTTGCCATGTTGGCCAGGCTGGTCTCGAATTCCTGGCCTAAAGCCCTCAAGTGATCCACCTACCTCAGCCTCCCAAAGTGCTGGGATTACAGATGTGAGCGCTGAAGGCAGGGCTCTTGAGTCTTGAAAGTGTTTCTGACTTCTCCCTCTCTTCCTTATAGGGTTTCTCAATACCACCTTCCTCCTCATGGGCTGTGCTCGTGAATATAACCAGCTCTTAGCAGATTTTCATCATATTGGGAGCATCAAAGTGACTGAGGTCCTCAACATCTTAGAGAAGTCTCAGATTGTTGGTGCAGGGTCCTCCAGGCAAGGTCCTGCCTGGGGTGTCCTCTTAGGCCTCCTGTTTGTCTTCAGGGACTGACCATCTAGCTGCACCAGACAAACACCCAGACCCTTTCACATAACAAATAAAATAGCAGAGTTCTCTTTTGGCTTTGTCCTGTGGTCCATGAGAGCACAGAGGTGAGGAAGGTGTGAGGAGGGCCAAGCATGTCCAGGGAAGTGGCGACCCAGGGGAAGAGGATCCTGGCAAAGTGACAGTATCCTGCCCAGCAGCTGGGGGAGCTGAGATACTCCTTTTCTCCTTCCCCTTCCTCTGGAGGCTTCAGCTCTAGCCTGGGTTCAGCTATTGATCAGGGTCTGATTTCTGAGACCCTGGCGAAATCTCTTCCTTTTTCTGGGCCTCAGTTTCCTCCTCTCTAAAAGGAAGGGTCTTATGAGTTAGAGAATAGTCTCCTCAGGGCAATTCTTTTTTTGAGATGGGGGGTCTCACTGTGTTACCCAGTTTGGTCTCAAACCTTGGCCTCAAGTGCTCCTCCTGCCTCAGCCTCCCTAATAGCTGGGATTTCACATGGGAGCTACTGCATTTGGCCACCAGGGTGATTATTATCCGGGATTACTTACTGAGTATCTACTATGTATGTCAGATACTGTGCTAGCATCTGTGCTAGTGTTTTACACACACGGTATCATTTAATCCTCACAAGACCTCAGTGAGGCAACTTTTATCTCAATTTTGCAAAGAAGAAGCTGGCTCTAGGAGGTGAAACCTGCTCACACTAGCATCTTCCTCCTCTGCAGATTTCTGTCCCAGTTGAGGGAATTGCATTGAGAGATTTGGAGACCTGAGCTTATTTTATCTGCTTAGTAGTGGGTTTTTTTTTTTTGGTAAGTTGGCAAATAAGGAAGACAGAAGAAAGAGCCCATGGTTTTAGTTTTGGTTTTGTGTTTTTGAGCCAGGGTCTCGCTCTGTTGCCCCGGTTGGAGTGCAGTGGCACGATCATGTCTCACTGTAGCATTTTGACTTCCCTGGTGCAGCCCAGAAGTTTTATCAGTGATTTCTGCAGAACTTTCGTGATCGATCATCTCAATCTTATACAAACTCTTCCATAGGGCAGAAAAAGAAGGAATATTTCCCTACCGCATTCTATTAGGTTAGTATAAACTTGACATTGAAACCAGAACAAAAAAAGGGCAAAAAGAGGAAATCATCAGGCCAATCACATTCATGAACAGAGGTGCATAAAAACTGTAAACAAGGCATTAGCAAACTAAATCAACAGTATATTAAAAATTAAAACACTAGGACTAGGTTTTGTTTGTTCCCAGAGAAGCAAAGATGATTTACACTAGAAATTTGTAAGTGGAAGGGTGCATGAGGGAGCTTCTAGGGTGCTAGGAAGGTTTTGTTTAGTGATCTTGCTACTATTTACATGAGTGTGTTCAATTTTTGAAAAGGCATCAAAACAATACATTTATAATTCATGCACTTTATGTAAGTAATGTATCAATTTTTTTTTTTTTTTTTTTTTTTTTGAGATGGAGTTTCACTCCTGTTACCCAGGCTGGAGTGCAATGGCGCGATCTTGGCTCACCGCAACCTCCACCTCCTGGGTTCAGGCAATTCTCCTGCCTCAACCTCCTGAGTAGCTGGGATTACAGGCACGTGCCACCATGCCCAGCTAATGTTTTGTATTTTTAGTAGAGATGGGGTTTCACCATGTTGACCAGGATGGTCTCGATATCTTGACCTCGTGATCCACCCGCCTCAGCCTCCCAAAGTGCTGGGATTACAGGCTTGAGCCACCGTGCCCGGCATGTATCAATTTTTAAAGTAAAGTATATATTACTGCCATATTAAGAAAATAAAGGGAAAACTCATGACTATCTCAATAGATGCAGAAAAATCAGTTAATAATATTTCCTGGGCTGGATGTGATGGCTAATGCCTATAATTCCAGCATTTGGGGAGGCTGAGGCAGGAGGATTGCTTGAGGCCAGAAGCTTGATAACAGTCTGGGCAACATAGCAAGACCCTGTCTCTACAAAAAATTCCAAAAAAACCCCACCTAATCACATTTGCCATCCATTAAAAAAAAATTACAGTAGGATAGAAGAGAACTTCTTTACTCTGCTAAAGCATATCTCCACCCGAAACCCAAAAGAGCAAGCAAGCAAACAACAACAACAAAATCATTGTTGGCTGGCGTGGTGGCTCACACCTGTAATCCCCACACTTTGGGAGGCCAAGGTGGGCAGATCACGAGGTCAGGAGTTCAAGACCAGCCTGGCCAACATGGTGAAACCCCGTCTCTTAAAAATACAAAAATTAGCCAGGTGTCATGGCACGTGCCTGTAATCCCAGCTACTCAGGAGGCTGAGGCAGGAGAATTGCTTGAACCAGGACTTGGGAGGTGGAGGTTGCAGCAAGCTGCGGTCTTGCCACTGCACTCTAGCCTGGGCTACAGAGTGAGACTCTGTCTCAAAAAAAAAAAAAAAAAATCATTGTTAATAGGAAAATGGCAGCATTCCACTGAAAATCAAGAATAATCCAAGAGGACCAGGCACAATGGTTCACACTTGTAATCCCAACACTTTGGGAGGCTGAGGTGAGTGGATCATTTAAGGTCAGAAGTTCAAGACATGCCTGGCCAACATGGCAAAACCCCATCTCCACTGTATATATATACACATACCTACATATGTATAATACTAATAGTAATATATATATTACTATTATAACCCCATCTCCACTATATATATATGCATACTTATATATAATACTAATAGTAAAAAAGTAAAATATAAAAAGTAATATATAAATACTAATATATATTAGTATTATACTCATATATGAGCATATATAAACACATAATTTATCATATATAACAAAATTTGTCACGAGTATATGTATACACTAACATACGTATAATCGTGTATATATATAGTGTACTGTATATATATACTATATACTGTATATATAGTGTATATATGCACTAATATGTATATCAGTGTATATATATATATAAATGTATATATATGTGTGTGCAACATATATGTGTATATATATATACTCATATAAGTGTGTGTGTATGTGTGTATATATATATATACACACACACACACACACTAATGACAAATTTTGTTATATCTATATGATCTACTCTTTCACCCACTGGGTTAAATATCAGAAATCATATGATTTTGTTTGTAAACATGTAAGACTCACCCTTTCAATTAAAAAAAATCTATAGCATGATGCCCTTCCCCACAATCTGCCAAACTCCAAGTGTCCAGAAAATTTCCCCCTGACTCATGGTTTCTATACTGAAAAAAGTGAGATGGAGATAGACAAATAGCCTCCCCACTATCTTTGGTTTCCTGACAGGAAACTGTCCCTATCTCAACCAACAGGAAGCATAGAGAGTGCTTGGAGGGAGAAATATCCCTGTGGATAGGCAGAGACGGGTCAGGAGTCTGCAGTACCATCTCCAGTTCTGGAAACTCTGCTCTGCAATATGGCTAAAGGAGACACCAAATTTGTGTGGCTTTTCAGCAGCACCATGCTATAGCAGGTTCCTTCTGCAGCTCCCCTGAGCATGAACCCCTTATCCAGCCTTCCCACACTACCAGGATATCCCCTTTGGGACTTCTTTCATTTGGGAGAGGCAACACTGATTTTTTTTTTTTTTCTTTTTTGAGACAGTCTTGTTACGTTGCCCAGGCTGGTCTTGAACTTTTGGGATTAGTGATCCTCCCACCTCACCCCCCTGAGTAGTTGGGATTACAGGTGTGGGCCACCATGCCTGGCTCTGACTATTTGCTGGAACCAAGGCAAACCAGGGGTTAAGGCACCATTTATTGCCAAAATAGAGGCAGCAACCTAGTGGGAAAAAAAGATTAAAAAACCAACAGGTAAATTACAAAGAATCTCTAAGCAACTACATCTAATGAAAACCAAAACAAGCCAGCCAGACAGGACTGGAATAAATAATTCCTTAGTGCAAAGACATAGGTGTACATTCATAAGAAACAACAGCAAACGGAATCATGACCTCCCCAAATGGACAAATCAGGGAGTCAGCGACTGACCCTAAAGAGACTGCAGTATATGAGCTCTCTGACCAAGAATTCAAAAGAGCAATTTTAAGGAAACTCAGTGATTTAACAAACATATTGAAATAAAACAAACAAAAATCTTGGAACTGGCTGGGCATGGTGGCTCACACTGTAATCCAGCACTTTGGGAGGCTGAGGCAGGTGGATTGCTTGAGCTCAGGAGTTTGAGACCAGCCTGGGCAACATGGCAAAACCCTGTCTTTACAAAACACCAAAAAATTAGCCAGGCATGGTGGTGTGTGCCTGTGGTCCCAGCTACTTGGGAGGCTGATGGGGGAGGATTACTTGAGTCCAGGATGTCAAGGCTGAAGTGAGCCATGATCATGCCACTGCACTATAACCTAGGCAACAGAGTGAGACCTTGTCTCAAAAAAACAAAACAAAAAATAAAAAAGAAATTTTGGAACTAAGAAATACATTTGCTGAACTGGAAAATTTATTAAAATCTCTCAACAGCAGAATAGATCAAGCAGAGAAAAGAATCCATATGCTCAAACACAGGCTCTTTGAAAATACACAGAGGATGGCTGGGCGCGGTGGCTCTCACCTGTAATCCCAGCACTTTGGGAGGCTGAGGTGGGCGGATCACGAGGTCAAGAGATCAAGACTATCCTGGTGAAACCCCATCTCTACTAAAATACATGGTGAAACTTCATCTCTGCTAAAAATACAAAAATTAGCTGGACATGGTGGTGCCCACCTATAGTCCTAGCTACTTGGGAGGCTGAGGCAGGAGAATCGCTTGAACCTGGGAGGCGGAGGTTTCAGTGAGCTGATATTGTGCCATTGCACTTTGGCCTGGTGACAGAGCAAGATTCCATTTCAAAAAAAAAAAGAAAAGAAAAGAAAAAAAAAGAATGAAAAAGAAGGATGATCACCTACAAGATATAGAAAATTACCTCAAAAGACCAAATCTGGGTGGGTGCAGTGGCACATGCCTGTAATCCCAGAAATTTGGAAGGCTGAGGCGGGTAGATCACTTGAGGTCAGGACTTTTGAGACTAGCCTGGCCAACATGGTGAAACCCTGTC